TGGAATTCACATAGATTTGTTTAGGATTTTATGCCAGGACTTTATTCTGCAGATTTGGCATATTTTTTAAGATGCTTTACTATTTGTGAAAAAGGGTTCAACTATCCTGGTGTGTTTGTTATTCAGAAAAAGTGGGGAGTCTATAGTACGGGCATGTGTGTTGTGGGCTTGAGATCATTCTAAACAGATCTTGCTTTTATGGGCTATGGACCATGATGTATTCTCAGCTGTGGCTTTGATTTGCAGTGATTCAACTAGGGCAGTGTTTGGACAGCAGAAATCCTGCTGATGAGATGAGTAAACTTCCACCCAAAACTCTAGGTGGTCTTACCATCTCCTCACATACCATATGTAGGAGGATGCTGATTCCTTAAAATATGTGATGGAGAAAATGCTTATAGGGATAGTACTGATGGGGTCAAGAAACCTTTTCAGGGTAATGGAATAACATTTAAATTCCTTCTAGTAATCACTTTTGTTAACATTCAGTCTGTTATTTAGAGACTGCATTTTCTGCTTTATTGGTAGGTCAGGAAACAATTTTTATTAGATACTGGGAAGAACTGTAATTACTTCTTGAGGCACCAAAACTATGAAAGAGAGAAACTTAATTTTTAAAAAAAGTCTAGTTCTCATCCATCTTTTAAATCAAATGGGCTTCTGGCTTCTGTCCAAGGCATTTGATCTTGTTAGGGGTGGTATCAGCTTTATGTTAGGAAAATGAAGTAGCATGTCCTTTTGAATCTCCCTAGCAGACATTCCCAACCAGGTTCCCTCCCAATGTGTGAGACTTCAACTGCCAGAATTCCCAGCCAGCATTAACAATGGATTGCATCCCTTTGTCTTTTGTTGAGTGACTTCCACACTCTTGGGGCTGGCTTGAGCAGAAGTTCGTGGCCTCTTCAGTGAGCCATAGGGTAATCTCTGTGTCACAAGAGCTTATCTCAAATAATTCTAGGCACAACACATATAGATGGCCATATGTTGCATTTCACTTTTGTCTCAGAGCAAATACATTGTGATATTGATATGGAGGGCATTTTCCTCTGCCCTTTGCTGTGGTTAGATCACTTCCTGGTCCAGATGGTACTGAAGGCTGAGACCTCTGTAGGATGGATGGGCTGGTTAAGGTGGTCTGTCTCATGCAAACAATTATGGATCTGAATGATTTCCCAGATATTTTGTGGACATCTCTGTTGAGTGCCTTGTTAGCCTCTTGGCAGCAGGAAGCAGCCCAGTTCTTTGACATGATTGTCCCCAAGCAGACTGCCTGTATTGGCCAATCCCAGACTACTCACCAATTTAACAAGGACTTCTGGAAGATGAAGCACCTAAGAATTGCTTGGAATATCAGTGGGGAAAAACAAAAATCTGAACAAGCATGGGTATGAGCTCAAGTTCAACCCTATGGTACACTATAGTGATTAGGGAGAGAAAAAGTTTGTTAATTCTCTGTTATTGCATCAGTTGGCTGTTGGGTAGCTACCTTGTTTAGTGTACCTATCTCCCTTCTGGGAAGAGGCAACAAGTAGATTTCCCACCTGGCTGCTGTGACTGGGTAACATAAGATTTTGCCAATAATTGTTCAGATTCACCAAAGTCTTGATTTTTCATGGGTGGAGCCCATTGTAGTGAATGAGACAGTGTCTTTCCGTGTTATCTGGGACTTTTTTCTGACCTGTGGCTCTGATGGTGGATATTCTCTCAGCTGTCTCTGGCATCTTGTAGATTTGATCCATGTTCCTTTTGGCTTCTTCAGAAATCTTGGGTGGGCATGATGGATTGGATCCAAGTGGTAGTTTACATCTCTCTTTGCAAGGGGGTGATGCTTGAAGGAGGCTGTGGTACACTCTCTCCTGAATATGCTCTCCTTGGATCCATCTGTATTGGATAACTACTGCCCTGTCTCTACCCTCCCTTCTCAAGGAAGATAATTGAGGTGATAGTCAAGATACAGATACAGGGCACCCTAGAGGAAGCAGATTATTTGTACTCTTTTCAGTCAGAGTTCAGGCCCAGTTATGGAACAAGATGGCATTGGTCACTCTTGAGGGTGATCTTTGTTAGGACCTTAATGAGGGAAATATGTCCGTTTTGGATATCTCACTAGACTTTGATACCTTCAAACATGGTAGTCATTTTGGGTTTCCCACAGGTGCTGAGGTGCTGTTCCAGTCAGTAATAGTGGGGGATAAAAGATCAGCCAAGTGGTTGCTCTCTTGTGAAGTGCTAGAGGGCTCAGTGTTTTCTCCTTGATTTTCAATTTCTACATGAAACCTCTGGGGAAAATAATCTGTCAGTTAAGGATCTACATCATCACTGTGGTGATGATACCTGACTGGGTATCACTACCAGGACCAGGACATTCAATGTTTTGACCGATTCTCTCGAGGCTCCAAAGGTCTGGGTAAAATGAAACAAGTTGAAGTTCAATCCAAGAAAGGCAGAGTAGTTCTTTGACATCTTCAGTGTTGTCTTGGTGCTTGGACTTGTGGGTACTGCTAGTTGGGCAGGTAAAGGCCATGCCAGGAGGGCTTTTGTCTAGTTCCAGCTGGTGTGCCGGTTGTATCCCTACTTGGAGTGCAAGGACCTCACAAGAACAACTCATTCCTTCATTTGTCATTCTTGTGGTCTGCATGGGGTTGCTCTAAAAACCCAGGAAGGTTGGTCCAGAATCCAGTAGTTTGGTTACTGGCCAACATGACCATGGGCCCAGCACTGGCTTCCCATACATTTCTGACTGCAATTCAAAGTGCTCTTTCTAACCTTTAATATGCTACATGGCTTGGGACAAGACCATATTCTCTGACCAGTTTTGACTCATTCAACCTATATATCCTAGGAGAACCTTCTAATGTTTCACCACTTCCACAAAGTGAGAGGTAGAGGTGCACAGGAGCTGCTTTTTAATTGCTACAAAAAATTGCACTGGAATAGGCTCCACCCAGAAATTCTATTAGCTCTCACATTGATGGCTTTCCCAAGTCAATAAAACAGAATTATTTTGGAGAGCACTTGGGGTTTGAAGTGTTGCCAATTATTTTTATTGGTTTTGTAATGGTACTGATTTTTATCCTTTTGGATTTTTGTACCATGGATCTTTTACTGTATTGTTGTATAGATGCTTTGTAAACTGCCGAAAATCTTCCTGACTGTGGCAGACATAAATCAGATAAATAAATATGGGGGATTGAAGTCCAATGCTTTTGGTGGTTGAGGAACTCTTGTATAGGAAATTAGACCTAATATGCTAATACATGTGCCCCCTATGAGAAGTAAACTATAAGTCAGTATTGTACAAATAAGCATTTTTTGATAAGATATCACTAAAGTAGTGACATCAAATTGAAAACAGAGACTAAGAAAGAGTAACTTTTTTGCAGACAGACTTTCAACATACATAAGATTCATGAAGAAAACAAAGAAACCTAAGCTAGGATATCGTTCCTTTGGTAGATAATAAACAAAAATGAGGTTAGCAGGTAGATCACTTCTCTAAAGCACTCTTCCCTAATCTGGGATCTACTGATTGGAGATGTTGTAAAGTGTAGTTAAACATGTTTGAAGTAATCAGATTGGAAAAAGTTTACCTAGATTATGAAAAGAAAAAAATATGCAATCCTCTTACGTATGCCAGTGTTTACTTTTGTCTTGTGGATCCATCTTTAATTCATGTATTTTAAAAAATGCAAACGGTAGACTGTAAAATGACATTCCTACCATTAACACATCTTTAGAATGCATTCATGAAAATTGTTAAAGCTACATGACATTCATATTAATTTTTTAACAAAAGGATAGCTAACAATAAAACTCTGCTTTTAACCAAGAATTTGGATCCTCTGTTACAAAATGCAGTAGCATTTCTTTAAATAGTTAAAAGTACATTTCCAATTATACAACCTCTGTTCCAATGTCTTTCATACCAGCATCATTTTCACCCTAAGTACTCCTCTTGTGCTCAAAAGCAGACTCTGAATGGTCTGCAATTGTTCTGATCTAACTATTCTGAGAACTGAAACTGAACTGGCTAGCACTCCCTTCCTCTGTTTATTAAGATACCACAAAGCCCAGTTTCAAGGACAACCAGGCATTTTGGTGGTTTATCAGGCTTATTAGTGGTAGGAGAGAAGAGAGAGCCCAGAAGTGCAAGTTGGACATTAACAGGAGTCCCCATTAATGAGAAAGCTGTATGCCCCCAGGACTGCAGAGCTCAACCATCACAAATTACAAAATGAAAGCTTTCTGATTTTTGGGGAACCAAACTGGAAAAAAAAATAGCTTGGCTGCCCATGGATTACATCAGTAGGGGAACAAAGGGCATGGTGGTGTGGCAAACAAACCCAAAGCCTGGAAACCGGAATTTTTTTTACTAGGACTTATGGATAGTTAATTAGAAAAGACTCATGGACGACTGGTTTTATATATGGTAACACAGCAAGGCTGTTATATGCAGAAAGAAGGAAGAACACAGAAATACCCATAACAGAGGAATGGATCGTGAAGATGGTGGAGTTTGCAAAAAGGCTGAATTGACTTGTTTGATAAAAGAGGGAACAATTGCTTTTATAAAAGACTAGAAATCCTTCATGGACTTTTTGGTAAAAATGGATAAAAATGAATTAGTGATTTTGGGATCACCAAAATTTATTGATTAAAAAAGGTTGTTTATGGGAAGAAGGGAACCATGATATGTAATTTGGGAGGGTGGAATTGGTAATTACTATGTTTGTAACTGCTGCAAAGAAGATCAGAAGTTGTTTCTTTAGGTAGCCTTCTTTTTCCTTTTCTTTTGTTGTTTTTCACTTTTTCTTTTATTATTTAATATCTCTTTTTTCTACTTTTTATATTTCTGTAGTTTTTAATCTTATGTAAAATTTTCTTTTAACAAAAATTATATATAACAAAGAAACCCAAAGCCTCCTATGGGAACACCCATAGATTTAAACATTGTTTCCCTCTGAGTGGCACCAATGAGCTGTGTTTTCCTCCCTTTTTAGAAAAGACGGCGGCGGATCGATCGGAGTATGATTGGTGAGCCAACAAACTTCGTTCATACTGCTCATGTTGGTTCAGGAGATCTCTTTAGTGGAATGAATTCGGTAAGTGCTTTTACCAGGAATCCAGCAGGGTTAGAGACCTTATTCTTGAAAAACTTTGTATTTTGAAGCAATATTTCCCTCCTGCTGCCATGCAGGTGTGTTAGATTTCAATTTCCATAATTTCCAGATAGCTTTGGTCATACAGTATTCAATTCCTACATCCAGAGGGTTTCAGGATGGAAAAAGCTGTTTTAGAGTATTAAACCATTTAGATTTATAACTAAGTCTAAAAGAAAAAAAAATGAAATCATTTATACGCAAATAGGACAAGAATTATCAGTACAGGAAAAGGAGAGGAATTTTCAGCTCTTCATAGGAATGCATCTATTAAGGGCTAATATGTTTCTAATCAAGAAATGCTTCCCCAGGGGCAACTAGAAAATAAATCCATGATGCAATTGCACTTCAGTTCTCTCTTTTTGTTTACTCTGTAGACCTCACTGAGTTCAGTGAGGCCTACCCCAAGGAACAGTGCACCTGTGTGTAGTGTATTAAAACGGTTGTGAAAGCATTCATATCTTTAAAAGAAAGATATGTGTTAAAATTAGAGTACTGTAACCTTCATGCACAGGAAACTTAAAAAGGTAGATTTCTTTTTTTTATAATAACTTTAATTTAAAAAAAAAAGGAACAGTAAAAACTAACAAAAACTAATATTAAGAGAAAGAATAAAAAGAAAGAAAAGAGAAAAAAGAGAAAACAGTAAAGATCAAAAGTGCAGAAAAGAAAAGGTAGATTTCAGTCATAATTTTTAATGACATTTTAAGCATGTTAAAAACAAGCCACAGCAAGTGAGTTCATTTGCTCCCCTTCTTACCTCTGATATTGCCACAAGGAAGAATTTGAAAAGTTACCTGCTTGGTTGCCTAAAAATGTTTAATTTTTTCATTAGCCAGATTTTTTAAAAATATAATTAATGTCAACTGGGATTTGTTTGAAACAAATCAAGTAAAAGGCATGTGGTTTTGAGCCTAGCATATTTAAGCAAAATATCCTTACATTAATCATAGTTTAGGGACTGGACAATGCACTAAACATCCTAGGACTGAAGAAATACTTAAAATCTGTAATATGTTACCTATCTGACGTAGCACAGAAGGTTTTTTACAATCCTGGGACAAAGATCAAATGGCACACTTGCCTAACGCTGATAGATTTAATTAATGGCATGATCTTTAAAACAATTCTATATAGAACTTTTATTGGTAGAAACTCCCAAAGACTTATATTCTCCTTTTATATTCTTTTTTGTAGCAAGAGTGCAAAACAAAAAGCAAAAACAAAAAAGTTACAAATTCAGATGAACAAGTGATCTGTAGTTTCCATTCCTCCATAACAAAACCATGTCCAAAATGCAGTGTTTAAAATAAAAAAAAATTAAATGTGATAGAGGAAGCCCTGTAAATTTTTGAAACTGATTGGAAATTTCCAGTTCAGAGACAAATAAAGCAAGGTGAACTACTCTGAAGTTACCACTCCAGAATCAATATTATTAGCCAGTAATTTTAATCTGTCTTTGTAAAGGAAGAAACATTTTAGAAGCTTTGATTTCTCATCAAAGTAATACCACAGTATATATTTGGTTGCACATATACAATTCAGTATAGCAGCACAGCCTCTTGTGTATAACATAATTTGGAAATGACTGTGGAAATATATAGTTTGACATCAAGAAACCGAACTCTGTGCTGCACTTATTACAACCCAAATATGTATCTGAAAATAAAAACTTTAAAAATTAGTTAATATAGGCTATAAAAATACATAGGTAATAACCATGACATAGGTTAAAGCTGTATTTGATATTGAAACATGCTTGCATGCAAGTCAAGATAAAATAATACTGTGTTCTCACATTGTGAAATTGATATTCCTTGTGTAATACTCATTCCGTGTGCAATGAAGCCACTTCATACTCACTTTTGTTCAATCCCAGCAAGGTTTTGATTGATGGCTTTCTAAATGCCAGTAAGAAATATATGGTTTTCCTCAACTGTTATGGATAAAATACTTTTGTCTTTCTTATTTACTTTATGGTTTATTTCATCTGGCACAGGTAACACCGTAACATTCTATTTAAATAAATCTGTGGTGGAAGGGGAGGGAGACAAAAAAAAAATCCTTTGCATCAGGCTAAAAAGTTGCTACCTAAAGTAACAAGATCAATAAAGAATCCAAGCAAGTGGACTTTAATTCACAAGGCTTATGAATATATTAGTCTCTAGTGCTCTGTGAGTTTTGTTGTAGTTTTCTTTCTTATGAATTTCCATGCTTTCATCTTTGTTAGTTAGACACGTTTTAGACATATTCTGCTTTGTTCATATACTGGTTTAAGACTCTCTTTTTTGGTAATACATTATCTTAAAAAATAGAAGTAACTTTTGCAGGTTGGAGCTATTTTTGTTATTTCTGTTCACACACGTAATCTCTGGTTGCAACATCAGGGAATAAGTTGCTTGTGTGATGATAAGTCACATCCAATAAGTATATACATAGTTGTTATAAGAAACCAAATCATTCCTCCTTGATTACTTACATGCCTTGATTACTTACATGAATGAATTCAAATGCTATGAAGCAAATCTGGCCATTCCACTGGTACCGTCTTCTAAAATCATGCAGCTTCTTGGCTTAGAAGTCCATAAATTCAGTGTGGCTATCAATAAGACAAAAAAGTTTATGTGTAGTATCCTAGCCCACGGAAAGCTATAAGAAAGTTTACGTGCAAAAAAGTTGCTTGTACGGTTCTTGAACTTTCCCCCGCCAATGCATATGCCTAACACATAGACATTTAGGAAAGGAACAAGGAGAACCCACATGGTCTTGAAGGTGGAGCCAACAGTCCTGTCCCTTGACTCTCTGAACCAAACTTCATAGAAATAGCATGCAGAGGCGCTGTGGTCATAAAATTATGTACATGCATGTGCTGGATCAAGTCGTAGAAGAGAAATTGTAATAGTAAGAGCTTATTTTGGAGCTAATTAGATCTTATGCAGCAAAAATATTAAGTTGAAATTACATGAAAAGGAGAATAAACATAGAAATCTGCAGTATCCTTTTCTTACAAGTTTGGCTGTCAGTGTTATGCTTAGGGACGAGCAATATGGTTGATTTTGTACAAAATTTGCACTGATCTAAAGAATTCAAGAAGTATCATATTACAGTTGACCATGTTTTTTTTCCATCGCATTTTTGTTTCTTTAGGTGAGTTCAATTCAAAACCAAATGCAGTCCAAAGGAGGCTATGGAGGAGGCATGTCTGCAAATGTTCAAATGCAGCTTGTGGATACAAAGGCAGGATAACTGGAGGATCTTTCCAGTAAGGTATTATAAATTTTCCACATTCTGTTGCCTTTCTATTCTGACTTCCAGAGACACAAAAGTATGGGTCAGCAAACTCATTCACAATTGTTATCTCAAAGCTATATGCAATACAAATTCTGGTAGCAAATACTTAAAATATTTCATACTGATTTTACACACACATTTATCAAAAATCAGCATTAACTATTTGATCCTCTTATTTCTTCTTCTATATTTCTCTCATACCAAAATCAGAGGATCAGAATTAACAATTGGGGAAGTTGGAGGAAGGCACTGCAGTAAAACAGTGTCAACTCGCAGGCCCCCATTGGTTCTAAATCATAGTGGCAAAATTTCAGTTACTTGATTTAGGGTTGGCTTGCAGGGGGGTATTTAAGGCTGTGGATGTGAACAGTTTGTGTCCCAGAAACCTCTTGCTCCTGTTCCCATCATATCCTGCCCCTCTCCCCCATGCAACAAAAAAGACTCAAAAATTCACTGCTGCTGTTTCCAGTGACATCATATTATCTCCACATGGGTTTCTGCAGCCTCTAGCAAGTCAGGAGATGAAATTGCAGTCCCTAACCACTCTAACGCTATCCGCTGCTGCCTTACATGGCAACATAAATAGAAGGTGAGGATATTTATAATTTCAGATAATAGAATCACATGACCATTAACCAGGACATTATGCTATACACTTTCTTTCTGCTTTATATTGGGGATGGAAGATGTCTGGCCTACAAACTGCTCCCATCTGGCTCGATTAAGCCCAAGTGCAGGCCTCTCCAACTTCCTTAAGTGCCCATTCTCAGAGAATGCATTTCTTTCTTGTGCATGGAGAAAGGGGCTGTTTCTTTGTGGATACAGGGAAAAAGAAACAGGTCCTCATCTTGTCTTCCTCTGTCTTTAGTTTGCTTGTATTCCTCCATCTCCGCTTGGAGAAAGGGGCTACCCTTTTCTGTGTGCATAAATATAATATACAGCAATATTTTTTAATTGTGTGTGTTTGTAACAGAGGAAAATGAGGTGATCCTGGACTCCAGCTGCTGTTAGCACTTGGCCACTGATAATCTTTCTGGATGCCAGCATAGCCATTAGAGCAAACCATTTGCCCAACCCATGCACTACATATTACTGGCCTACTACTAAGAGCAGAGAAATAAAAATGCAATATGAGGCAAGTTGCAAGTGGCACAGTGAGGGGAAACTCAAGCTATGCTTGACATACTTAATGACTGCTACATAATTTTTGCATACAATACTATATTTTTAAACTAGTTAGTTTTTAAAATTGTTTTATCCATTCTTTTTTCTGTTTTTCACAGGCCCCTGCAAATTTCTATATTTTTTTCCTGTGTCCCTCTCTTTATGCCTTGGTGACTGCTTCCTGTGCTCATGATAAGAGAAGTTGATGGCTCATCATCCACCCTTCGTGATTATTACGCCATTCAGACGTTCCTGTTCTGCTGTGAGGCTGACATTTATCAGACTGGTTGTGCCTTTAAAGTGGCAAGCTTACATTTCACTACTACCAAAACATCTGTGGACATTGTACTGGTTGACTTGTTTTTTGAGCTTCTAAAACATTTACTCTCAGTATTTTGAAACAATATTTTGAGCAATCTAAATTCTGAACAGACAGGTTTGGTGTTGGGTTGACCCTTGTTTTGTACTTCCTCTGCAAACCCTTGATTATAGCATTCTCATCCTTTCATTGTTGTTATTCTTTCTTTCTTTGTAATTAGAAGCAAGCAAGTTTCTGTTAATACCTTGAATCTGTCATTGTTGACATAGATCTTTTTTTTTTTTAAAGGTCTGGGACCTGCAAGCACAACAAACATTTCACACAGTCAGAAATCAAGAGTATATGAGTGTATGACTGCATGCTATGTGAATTTGCTTGGTATGGTGGCCTGTTGGATGCCAAAAACATTATTTTTATTTTTAATGCTTGTTCTTGGAGATGGATGATGCTAATGTTGGTGGAAAAAAATGCAGTGGTACCAGAATATGCCAATCTCTCTAGGGAAAAACGGACTTGTAACTTTTAGCTGCTTTGGAAATACATCTTAGATTTTTAATCCAATTCATCTTGAACTAATAAAGAGAGAGTCTGCATTCAGAAGACATTTTGTTGTAAATGTTCAATATATTTATTTTGGAAGAGCTGACCTCAAGATTGTAAACCAGTGTGGTAACGTACAAAGTAAATATTGTGGTGGCGCTTTTGTCTAGTTAAGAGGCATTGTTATGTTGGCTGCTTTTTCTTTCTTCTTTTTTAATGCTTAATTTTAGGCTGTTCCAGCATTACCAGTAGCAGCATGATGAACTGCCTGCAATATTATAGCTGGAATTTAGTTGACCTCTCTAAATAGTTGGCAGTTTCCACATACTAAATATTTAGGGGCCCATGTAAGTTGCTAAGAGCAACATAGTAACCTAGCAGGAATGGATATCAGTGAAAACAACATACAGGGTGGCTTTTTGCTATATTGGTGAAGAAGCCTTTTGCTCAGGTTCCAAAGCATGTTTCTTTCACAAAGTGTGAAAACTGTGTTTTAATATTGCACTGTTTTTTTGTTTTTGATGTTATTTTATATTTTGTAAGTGGTCTTTTTTTTGTCTTCCCCATATTCATGCCTCCTTTGTCACATTAAATTGAAATCAGTTGATTATTAGCAAAATAATTTTTCAGACACATTTAGAATCCTCCTCATGCATCATTTTTTAATATCTTAACTGGCAAATAGAGTAACTGAGCCTAATTGGAGAAATTCTTAACGTTACAAGTATTTGCTGCAAAAATTCCCTTCATTTCAACAGGACCATGCAAGAACTTAGTGTGTGTCTCACTGAAACGAAATATTATATACAGTAGTAGCATTGCTTTGTAGGTAATGCTTATTGCTACTTTCTCCACTCCTATTTATAATTTGTAAGGGGAGACTAGGAATGAGGGAAAATCATACTTACAACTTTTGTTTTATTTTTTTAAACTTCCCTAGTAGTTCTCAAATCATCAACAGTTTTTCAATGCTGATGGAAGGATATCTTTGTCTACAAGCACTTTTGGACCCATACCCAATGAGGAAATAATCTATGTAAATATCTCTAATACGAGTAGAAGCAATTGTTGAGCAAATATGTGAAGATTGCTGCTCCACTCAAATCCATATTTATGGGCTGGGTCCAGAAGACATTCCTGGTGCAGGCAGCAGAATAATACAGGGGAAAATATGATTTCGTTGGGGAAATTTCCAGTTCAGGGAGTCCGGAGAGATGCCTTTTACTGTTGGGGCCAAATACGTAGGCAGCTTGGTAGTTGCCAAGGTCAGGATGTCAAATGCATACATTTTCAAAAGTGCTCTTCAAAGTACTCTATATCTTTCCATATGATAGCTGTCTAAATATATTGGACTGCACGTTTTCCCTGAAATCATGAACATTAGCTACAAGTTAAGGGAACTGTAGTTCAAAAGAGAGCATCAGGTTGGGAAAGACTGTCCTGGGGTTTCAGACTAAATTTCACTTTATTCTGATCTGATAAAAATGAATCCTGGGAAGAATTTGTGATCAAAAAATAGTCATAATCTTCAGCTCAGTCGCCAGAAAAGAGAGACATATTTTTATAACAAACATACATTTTTTGTACATTATGTTCATTCTTAAATAATGTAAGTTCAATGTTGTCTTGTAGATATTAAAAGGAGAATATTGACTTTTGATTCAATAAATGTTTTCTTTCAGTTACTGGTTTTCTTATTTCTTTACCATAATCAGTACCTATTTGCTTGGACAAAGAGATCTGAAAAACAATTTCATTGTTTCAGATTTTGCTCAACTGATGGTATGGTAAAGGTGTGAGAACTGTATTGGGACACAGCTATTCTCTCTTCACATACATGGACACAGCATGTGGCAGACAGTTTTTACTTGACATGGTTAGGAAGTTCTATAAATGGCAGTCAGTTTCTTGGACATAAATTCTTATTCTGCCTTTTCTGTAGCTATCAAAACCAGTAAATTTCTAATACTTGTATGCCACATCTTGCTATAAAAATACCAGAATTTGACAGAAATATGAAAACAAAATTAACATATGTTAAATATAGCTCATTAAATAAGAGAAGTTTGAGGACCAAGTTTCCTTGAAAGGCCCAAGCCTTTTTCAGACTAAGCAGGTAATGTGTTCTATATGACCAAAACAACCTTGCAGTTAATCTTACAGTTAACCTTGCAGTTAATATCTGTAGGATTTTTCTTTCCAAATAAAATCAGTTGAAGATAAATTATGAAAATGATATAGCACCATATATTTCAAGACCACAGTCTTTTAGTTATTTGGAAGTGAGTCCCATGGACCTCCAGAGATTTGTTTCTGAAAAGACATACATACTGTGCAGGCTACCTGCATTACATTCAACTTCTTCTGCCTTTTCTCCAACCATGTGAAGCCTTGCTTTAAACTGAAATGCAGACTTGTTGCATAGCTGTGATATGAATGTACTGCATGGTATTAGATACATTAAATACATTAAATTATTTGAATAGCTTGATTTCACATAATCTATTCCCCCAAGAAATGCATCATAAATATTATCACTTTTCAAAATAGAAGTTTATGTATTATTTAGAAAACTTTCAACTCCTGGAATCTCATGGTAGTTTCCAACAAAATCTGTAACATGCGTTTTAATGGAGTAAATGTTGCTTTTTAATTACAGTTCACTAAAGCAAATGATAATGAGCAAAAGGAAGAGGAAGGAACAATCAAAAATCCCCTTCAATGCAAATGAATAATGATTGATATGCCATTGGGCTAATGGATATGCCATTAGCCTTACATATTTGTTTCCAGTTATCAAAGTTGCTCAAGAAGTATTTTGTTACTGATATGGCCAGCAGGTATGTGTATTGGTGACAAGTTCAGATAATAATTACAGTGGTACCTCTACTTACGAACACCCTTACTTACGAATTTTTCGAGATACGACCAGCTCCGGCCCAAAAAATTTACCTCTACTTACGAACACCCTTACTTACGAATTTTTCGAGATACGACCAGCTCCGGCCCAAAAAATTTACCTCT